GAGCGCGCCTTCAGCCCCCGGTTGGGGGGGGGGGGGGGGGAGGGGGTACATTAAGAATGTGTTTATACTTATAGTTAATTATTATGCTAGTTATATTATGTTGATTAGCTTAACAGTTAGTTGTAGTTGTTATCTCAATAAGTTATTATTTTGTTAGAAGCCAACTATACACAAATGTCATAGTGATATAATACACGTGTGCATATACGTTTTCCTCTGAGAGGTTTAATTCAACAAGGTAGTTTGCTTTCCTTACTCTTCTCTTTACACTGACTTCTCCCTCTCTTTGACACTTTGATGTCTGTCTTATATAAGTGCAAACAAATATTGGAATGTGAAATATGATATTACCTTCATTTATGTGTAGCCTACAGTTAAAAATGTTTATTACCTTCATGTTAATATGCACTGAATCTGACATTATGACAATTTGGTCTAGATACAAAAATATCAAAAATCATATTATGTATTCTATGTGCATATTTATATTGGGTAGTGGAAGAGACTAACTATTTATTATGAATTCATAACTGATAATGGCTCAACTTGGAAATTATGCACACATAATGTATTGGGATAGCAGACGTTAGATTAATATAACAACTAAGAGTTAATGTTGCCATAAAAGAATGTGGGGCAGCGGATGGGGTTGCTCCTCTCTAAACTAGGGGTTTTGGGGTCGAACTCTGGGTATGAAAAATTCTTGGTAGGAAATACTTCTCCAATAGGGCCCTACACGGCTCCAATCAGAATTAGTCGGGTTCTATGGGGATATCGAACACCAAATGAGAAATCAAAAATAAAAAAAAGAACTTTATTGAATGTGAAAAATTTGAGAGAAAATGATGTGCTCAATTTTGTCTGATATATTAATGTATATACATTATTTTTAAAAAAATGTTAAATGATTTACTTTAAACTAAAGGCTAATACTCCAACTTTGAAGTTAAGAGCTTCCCCCTATTAGCATAGTATAGTAAAAACATAATATATGATATGATTAATGAGGGTCCATTAGCACATTACGAAGATGGTAAATGTTCACCTGTTGTTTAGAAAAGGTGGTTCATGCCCTTGAAAGGAGATGCCTTTAATAGGAATGTCTTAACTACCAATAATGGTTTTTATATGGCACAAACTCAGATGATGCGCAAGCTCCTGTCAAATAATTAATTAATACCATGTATGACTCAACCTTGTATGTTTTTTTTAAATACGCATTTGATACACCTACTAAATAGCTAATGCCCTACATATCATTTATTTATTTAATTTTTTTTTCCTTACAAATGTTTCTTGCAATGCTTTTGCAGATTCTCTAAAGTAGCATATCTTATTGCTATAAATCAATTGGATATTTGCGGAACAATAAGCACATAAATGTTGTCACCAAAGACATAATATGCTGCTTATTTGGTGTTCAAGTTTGTAAATGGGTGCGACAATAGCCTTCCATATGCTAAATCAAATATTAGGTTTGTTAATTATGAGAGTGAAATTGATGCTGAAAATCAGGCCAACACTGTGTACCTTCCTAGATTGCAAGAAAGTGGGGGTATCCCAAAAATGAGAAGAGATGGATGGATATTTTGATAGCAAGAAAGGCACCACGGTCCTGTTGAATCAAGACTGTTTGAGAAGAATTATTTTTACAAAATTGGACTCATTGTTGAATGAGTTGAGTTTCGTCCAAAAAGAGAAGTGGATATGGGAATTTATGTTTTACATATTTTGAACAAGAAATCTTTGAATTCTTATTTTGATTACTAATTCAATGTTTGCAATTTACTACAGACAATTCATATACATTGCATATCCTTTAAGTATTTAATATTACTTAATAATTTGGACGTCCTTTTTCTACCAGTAGGTTACCTTAAGGCCAATTTTGTGGCCTATATTTTGGATTTAACTTTTAGAAGGTAGAAAAGGGTGAAGAGAAATTCCTTCTTACGATATTTATGATGTTGAATTTTCTTCTCTATTTAGTCTCTGTTAGTTTATGTACTTCTAGTTTTATATTAGAAGAGAGCTTTGATGAATCTTGAGGAGGGAGAAATATTTTTTTGGATTTCAACTGATGGATCAGTTTCAACTATGTCGTCAAAGGAAGAAACTATAGTGTTATCATTTGGATGTTGTTTTTCCGAAAGATTTCTATTCTTTGGGATAATTTATCATATTGATCTTCATCTTCTTTAGGTGCTAAAGCTAATAAGGTATGACAATACTATAAGTCGATATTTTTAATGATTTTTTTGGGAATATTCAGAGAAATGATAATCCTGCAAAGTAAAAATAAATTTGACTAACAACATGATACAATCATTGTGGTAATTTCTCAAGTACCAAGACCAATGACGGAGGATGCTTGGCTGATTCCAGCTGATATTCCTGCAGCCTTCGGGTCTGTCTGAGATCATCCACACACCTACTCCTTCTAACATCTTGTCGCCCTTTGTCTCTTTGTCCACGTCATGAGCATCCGAACCTTCCCTAGCTTGTAGCATATTTTTTGCTTTCCCTTTATTGAGAATGCCTTCTCAGGTAACCAACT